ACTAAAGTGGAATTATTTACCTATATATATATATGTACATGTATTATGATATCTGTCCCGATGTCATTTCACAAAGAATGTTTGTAACATCTTTATTGGACTTCGGCTTTGATGATGTATGNAATCGATCCTGGCATAAGTCAGGCCCGGACATCATCGCCAGACCTTCATGGTCTGACAATTTCAAAGAAGGAAATTGGTATGGCTGTTGCCTTTGGTAAAAATGTTAAATGATTTTGAATATTTCTCTACAATAATTAACAAACTATTCTCTTCTTATGCCAAATCTTTTCAAATCAATCCGTTTCTCCTATGTCCAAAATCTGCTTCTATTCGTAATCCTTTCGTAGTTAACTAGTCTTCCTCGTATTCGGGCATATGACTTACTTCATCTACTAATTTAAGTTTCCTTGATTAAATCAACGAAAGAACTCATACTATCCCCATTCGTCTTACCATGAATTGTATATCAGCTAAAGAACCAACATAGGCTGCATTCTTATTTAAATTTAGTAAAGGGGGATTCCATTTGCTCCAATAGCTTTTAAAGGTTTTCAAATCATCACCGTTTCTCTTTTTATAGAAGAATATGTTCTCTTCGATGAGTTAGATGTATATTAAATCAAACAAAAAAAAATCTATGCCCTCTATATTTTTTTCCAGAAGCCTTTTACTGCGCACAATTTAGCTCTATATGTCCTATTTTCTAAATAGATTTATATTAATATATATTATAAAGCAGAAAAGAAAATATAAAAAGATTTGTTTTTTACGCCAAAAATTAATTAAAAGATATATTGCCTAAGATATATGCACAAAAATCGAATTTTGCACGAAAATCCGTGATAGTTTAGTGGCTAGAATTACCGTTTGTCGCATGGTAGACCGGGGTTCAATTCCCCGTCGCGGAGCATTTTCTCTTACAGCTGCGCAAGTGGTTTAGTGGTAAAATCCAACGTTGCCATCGTTGGGCCCCCGGTTCGATTCCGGGCTTGCGCATTTCTTTTTGCTTCTTCCTACTCTCAATCTTAATCATTGTCAGAAGGTCTTTCATCCTGTTCTTCGTTGATCAACGAGTGCTTGGTGCGGTCAATAAGAAGATCTCGAGTGCTTCTCGATTTTTTTTTGTTCGAGAAAAACACCCAAACACCAAACAACACGGTTTTGTTCTTGTTGTCAGATCAAAATTTCAACTTGAAGCTTCGAAGCAGAATCAGGATTGAAAAGAACAAACGGATTCATATCTAATTAAGAGAGTTTGGGAAGTTTTTCAGATGAAAAAGTAACATAAAATGGAATTGAGTGATTTGAATCTAAGAAATCCCATCAAGGTTGGATATTATAATCCATTTGATATATACCTGACGATTAAGGATGATTTTGAAAGTAAATTCCCATTAACAAATCTTCATTGGAAGTATCATCCTTTAAAACCATTGAAGTCGATACCGCTTCTCCCGGTGAAGCTAATCGAAGAAGTACCAAAATCGGTTGCTCATGAAGTTGATAATGATAGCGTTTATATCAGATTGATGTTTATAAAAGTTGAAAGTATTGACACTTATAGATCTCAAGTAAGGCCATTAATCAAGGCTTGGATGAATAAACTAGTTGAAAATTCCGGTCTTGAATGGGCAATAATTCTATTTATACCTTCTAGTGGCAAAGATAAGACCTCGAGTATAATAAAGACATCTGCTTTTGATAAGTTGAAGATGGATTTTGGAGTTGATGGTAAAGAGTTACCATCTTCACTCAATGATGAGGATTCAGATTCAGAAAATGAACATTGTTTCAAATTGAAAGAATCTTACGAGAATGATATCCAAAAATTGGAAGCCTATAATGATATTACCGGGAAATTAAAATCTTTATTATTAAAATCTTTTAATAGACAGTATCAAACTTACAATGATGAGATAATTCAGCATGATATTGAAAAGGGTAGCATTGACTTGGATATACCAAAATTCAATATGAAATTAAAATTGGCTAATTTACTTAATGATATGAGGCTCTTACAAGAATCGTTCGACATTTATAATGAATTAACCACCGATTTAGCTCATCTTCAATCGAAATTTCCCGAAAAATTTGAAAATGCCTTGATAACTATACCAAAGGATTTCACAAACTATGTTTTTGAATCCTCGTTTGACTTGAAAAACTTGAAGAACAAACTTTTCAATTACCAGTCTAACTCTGTAAACATCCTAGAAATCAAAATCCTTTTATTCATTAACAAATCAATCTTATTGCAATCATTATCTAATTTTGCTACAAGTATTTCAATTTCATCACTTTTCATATCAAATCTCTTTCAAAACGTGATATACTTTTTAAATGATCTAAATAGTATGTTTCCTAATCAAAATTTAGAAGAATGGTCTTACATAATTGTGGATAACTACCTTAATTTACCCATTTGCGATAAATTAATTGAAATAAATAATAAGAATAATAGTGAATCCACTCAAACCTACAATTTAAACGAAATTTATGAATTTAAAGGTGAACTTCGGTTATTACAAAGAAATCTTTTATCAAAATTGGCAGAAAAGAAACATTTCTCATTTACCGAAATTCTTCAAGATATTTCATTGGATGACGAAGGGAAAAAACCTGAACTTGAATTGTCATTCGAGCCGCTTATTTCAATTCTTGAAAGTGAAACAAAATATTATGATTATTTTGAAAAACTCACGGAAGCAATTATTCAAGATTTTGTTGCAGCCGAAAGGTCGAAATCTATTGACATTTTAAGTATTGATTTGGCAATTTTAAATTATAAACGTGGTAATTATGCAGAAGCATTGAACATTTTGCAAGACTCATACGAATTTTTCATCCAAAATGGATGGAATTTTATGGGAGGCATTCTATTAGAAATTTATTTAGAATGTATTGAAAAAACTCAAAATACAGCTGCATCACTCATTCTTACCACTTGCCTCAAATTATTTAGTAACTTGACTAATAAAGATAATAATAAAGTTGGTATTAATAACTATGGAAGAACCAAAAAGCAGACTCAAGTTAAGTCATTATTCGAAAAGATTGTTAATTATTCTACTAAATTGGATCACACTTATAAATTTCCAATAAAACATTTGTTTGATTTCAAGATTTTACCTTTCATAAAACCAGCCAAACAAAAGACTGACAAAAACTATGTCGAGGTCGAAATTGATAACTTTTTTGGTATTGATTTCCATTTTGATTCAATCGAATTAGTATTATCTTCGAAATCGTCGGAGGAAGATCCTGTGAATGGTGCTAATCAGTTGCTATTCAAATCAAATAATTTGAGTTTGTCTCAAAATTTGAAAAACTTATTAAAAGTTCATACTACTGACTTTCAGATTGGGGTATTCAACTTGAGTAATTTAATAATAAAGGTGAATGATAAATTACATTTGGTCCAAAATATTTCCGAATTAGAAATTCAAGATGATGAAGTATCAGTCGAAAACAACACCACTGTAATAAGACATTCCAAAAATTCTATACTCACTGATTCCATTGTGGGTGGTCCACATCACGCAAGTGATGATGATACATTAGTTCCATATCAAGAATTCATTATGTACCAAAATTTGAAGAAATTTCGTTGTGAATTTTTAAATCCACTACAAATTCGTTTGGGCAAGTCCAGTGTGGCATTAAAACTTTTAAACGGTGAGGCTGCTGTTGAAAATATAAGGGCTACCATCTCGCCAATCTCTACTGGACTTAGTATCGATGGAAAACTGAACGAAAACTTCACCTTGGATTCTTTAAAGGCCAATGAAACTCATATCTTTGATATACCTTACATATACCTGGGCGAAGATCAGATCATTGAATTCCTGGCCAAAGTAATTTATACTGTCAATGGAGAGGAATTCCAACATATAATCAAAGAAAAGATTGACAAAACTTTAACTATATCAGTTTCAGTACAGGATATATTCAAATCTGATTTTGTATTTTCTAAATTCCAAGTTGGTACTTCCAATGCAAAACTTCCTATAAGAATTTTATCCAATGACTTAAAAACGCTGAACGAAAATTATAAAATCGAAAAACCCCCAAGCGTACCTAATGGAAGATCACATGTGACCTTCGGTGAGCAGCCGGCATCCTTTTTCTATAAAATAATTCCAAATACAAACTACACTATAGATGTTTCTGATACTTTAGATCTTTCGGTGAACTATTCAAATCTCCAAGATGAGTGTCTTGCAATTATTGAACATTTCATGCTAAATTATTTTGAAGAAAATGACATACTTGATTATTGGTTTCTTTTCAAAGGTCAAATATTTAAACATTTGAAATTTGATTTGAATAGGTATGCAATATTTGGCACAGTAGTATTGACTAACTATTATGAAGTTGGATTACTTGCGGAAAAACTTACAAATCAACATATTGATGTCTTGAAAGTAAAGAATTTACTTACAGGCTTTTTCCAATCCTTATTTTGCGAGACGAATGAATTGTCTAAGTCGGTGATACCAAGCTCAGAATTCTCACAAAGGGAACTTCTTATATCTGTCCCTATTCCAGTATTATCAATTCTTCAAATTGTTGATTTCGAATTTGAAAGAAAACCCCAATACGTCGTTGGTGAACCAATTTTAGTGAAGTTGAAAGTAGAATCTACATCAAGATGGTCTACTCAAAGTCCACTAAGAGATGACGTGGAAGCTTCAGCTTCCGAAGATACTCAGGACTTGTCAATTCTAGCCGAGTCATCCCCACATAAAGCCTCTCCTGATAAGTCATTAATAAAAGCCAGCAAAGCCGAAAAAGATTCTTTTCAAATTACTATTCAAAATGATGAAAATTGGCTAATTTCAGGATTGAAGAAACAATCGTTCGATATAGATCCTTCAAAAATTGTGAATGAAAACGATTTTGAACTCATTTTAATTCCGCTTAATGTTGGTAAGTTGCTATTACCTAGAATAAGTATCAAAAGTATGAATTTAAATTCCAAAAACGACATTTCAATGGATTTCAGCGTCAAAAATGGTCTCGATACTCTATTGGTTGTGCCAGAATTGGATAGCATTACATTTTCCTTTTAACATGACACTAATCAGTGTCTCTGCATCGTCTAGTATATTCTATGTATATTAATATTTAACATTTGCATCTAAGATTATTTGCATCATTGATGTTATCCGTACACCAATAACAGAAAGAATCAGGTTGCGTAAATTTATGATTCATAAGTGAAAAAAAATCTGATCTAAATGAAAGTAACCCATCTTTATCCAAAGGTTTAAGCATGTCATCACCGTCACCGTCTTCTCAAGTGGATGAGAACCTCATCCACATCCCAATACCGCATTATCCTCCCTTTAAATTGAGATCATCTTTAATAGACAAGGATCCTGTTATTTGGGTTCACTTACTAGAAGCATACATCAACTTATTTAAGTTTTTAATTAGTCCTGAATCTCAAGTTAAAAGACTCAATGTTAAGTCACAGCAACAATTACAGCTATTCTTGAAGGTATTCTTGTTTGAAACATCTGAAGAAACCAGTAAGATTTTTTCTTTAGGGGCAATTAACCCCGACATCACCACCAATACTACAATTTTAAGAGCTTATGTATTTCAGTTGATTAAAAGTTACAGTTTGGTTAAACTCAGCTTGACAGGAGAGTCTATTTGGCACTTTATCACCATTTACGCAAAGAATAATGCATCAACAGTTCGTGGCTTGGTAGATGGGACATTTAAATCAAAGTACAATGACAATAAAAAGTCAGGTAACATTAGCTCAATCAGTTCAGTTCATAAGTACTTAGAAGGTTTGATTAGTAATGGCCAGTTCAAGCAAGCTGATTTAACGACATTATCTTATCTACTAGGTCAACATACGAGTGCAGGCGCAAAGACTAAGACCTTTAATATATCAGGTGCAAATTCAAACAACCCCAAAACAAAAAGCATCAATAAAAATCTGACTAATTCTTCAAATTTCGCCGAAAAATTCGTTGATACTAATTTTATTGAAATTTTAGAAAAGCTTTATGTAAATGGAAGAGGTGTTCATGCCAAAACGGTTGAAAAAATCATGGTTGTTTCTATAATATCCTTATCTACGGCCAAAGTGGCCAATTTGGTTACGGGACTAGGTATAAACCAAGTCAAAGCTTTAATTTTATCTCCATTGTTGAGTACGGTGATTATTTCGGATGCTTATTCTGAGCTTAACCCGGGACTTGAAGAAAGATTACCATTTTTACGAAAATTAACTTTCGTTGGCGACAACTCTGAAGATGAATTAAGTAAGGGCGATTCTATTGACGTTAGTCCCGAACATATAAGCTTGTTACAAGATCTTTTCCCCCAATTAACCAATAAACAAGCAATCACCGTTTTGAAAGAAAATAATGGAGATGTTGAACATGTGACCAACATACTTCTTGAAAATCCAGATTCAATATCTGATATTAAAGAATATGAGCCAAAGCGAAAGAGTGCTGAGGATAGTCAAGAAGCTCAAAGAAGAGTTGCAAACGAATTGAAAAAGGCTCAGGCTAGATTTAAAAATTTCGACAATGGTGCAATAGTGCAAGGAAAACATCAAATGAGTAAAAAAGAGGTTTCAAATCCGGAAGATTTGAAGAAAAAGACTCTTTCTGCAGCTTTGAAACTCATGTACGAGGATGATGAAGATGAGCCTGATGATACATACGAGGAGCAAGAAAAGACAACCGGTGCTGCTGTTGATGATCCTAATGCAAAGGGAAACAAGGGAAACGCAAGCTCTAAATTCAAAGTTCTTGTTGACGATGATGCTGAGTCTTCAGCTTCACGTAGAAGAGATGAGACTCCACCCCCAAGAACTGAAAGCAAAATCGACTTGATTGAACGATACTTGTTCAGTGTTTACAAGACAAAAGGTGAAGAGTCATTCAGCAAAACAGCAAGAAAGGCCAGTTTACGTCAAACCATGAAAAAATCCACCGGCTGGTCTGACGAACAAATCGAAGGCTGGTTGAGAATGCTCCACAAGTCTCCCAAGAGATATAAACTTCTCGAAGAGTATTTCCTTTTTGGAGGTGGTAATCCAAATAGAGCCCCCCAACCTCCACCAATCGAGAAACTCAATCTCGGTGATTCAGAACCACCCCAACCCAAGCCTATTAAAATAGAAAAAAAGCCCAAATCCGACCAAAAATCTAATGAATCAAATGATAAAACTAAGGCTAAAAAAGATAATGCTAAAAATGAAAAGAATAAAGCTTCGCGTGCCAACCATAACCGTAAGACTGGCCACAATAAGAAAATGGCTGCTCAAATAGCAGGCATGAGACAGTAAGTCTTCATATATATATATTTGGCTACCTTATAGATTAATAGTTAATGTATTCATATATTCTAGTTTTTGCAACCTTTACACGACTGGAGAATCCAGACGAAAAATGGGGACACGCCAAAATTTTGAGAATAACAGAAGTAACAGATCAATGATAACTTAATTGAAAGAATCATTGTATTGATTTGACTTGATTAAATACATTGGCCTGACTTGAGCTTGTTGCGCTAGATTACCAACCTGCCCGTGATATTTTATATATGCAATTTTTTTTTTTGAACGGTTACTGGTAGAATATAAAAGTTATGATCACTGCATTATTCATATTTGATGCTAAAGGAGATATATTGATTTCCAAACTATATAAGGAGGGAGTGAAGAGAAATATATCTGATGTGTTCCGGATTCAGGTGATTACTACCAATTCCAAGAATAACTCAGCTGGCGATAGTGATGGGAGAGATGTGAGATCGCCAGTTTTAACGTTAGGATCCACATCGTTTATTTATATCAAGTCGGGATTACTCTGGATATGTGCAGTTACAAGGTCTAATCAAGATTGTTCACTTGTGTTAGAATTTTTGTATAATTTTGAAAATTTGTTAAAGAACATGTTGATCGGATACGGAAATGATTCACAACTAAGCATTAAGAAACAGTTAACTGACGAATTAATAACAAATAACTTCAATTTGATATATGAGTTATTAGACGAAGTCATAGAATTTGGATACCCAACCAATCTTGAAATCAATTATTTGAAGAATATGATTACATCGATACCTGCGAGTGATAATATATTCAAAATTGCAAATACCAGATTATCAAGAAGTAATAACAGCAGTAACGATAAACCAGTGTCTAACAAATCCAGTAAATTGAGTGGATCCAATGTAACTTGGAGAAACACTGGTATCAAATATAGAAGAAATGAGATTTTTTTAAATGTTGAAGAACGTATCAATGTTTTAATGAATGCACAATCAGAAGCATTAAGAGTTTATGTGGATGGAGCTATTCAAATGAAGACCCATTTATCCGGGATGCCAGAATGTAGATTTGGATTAAGCGATGATAGCATGTTACTTAATCTGAAAAGTTCAGAAAATCAAGATAGTGCTGCATATGCATATACATCAAATAATAGAAATCATAATGAAGTTACATTAGAAGATAGCAAATTCCATCAATGTGTTGATTTAACCAAATTTGATTTGGAAAGAGTGATCCAATTCATTCCACCGGATGGAGATTTCCAATTAATGTCATACCATTGCTTACTGAATATAAATCTACCTTTCAAAGTATACCCACAAGTTCAAGAAATTGGAAGACTGAAGTTACATTATAAAATTAGAGTTAAATCAGCATTCCCAGCAAGACTACCAGCCACCAACGTGCAAATCAAAATCCCAACACCTAGAGGGGTCATTAAATCAATGGCTACAAACACCCTGGGTAAATCTAAGTTCCATCCGGAGGAAAATTTATTTATTTGGAAATTCAATAAATTTTTCGGAGAACAAGAACATATTTTCACCGGGGAAGTGGAGCTATCCAACAATCATAATGATTTCGGACCTAATAGCTCCATGCTGGAAGACGACTTCAATCAAGTTTATAACAATGGTATAATCAATTGGAATCGACCACCAATCAAATTAGAATTTAAATTGGATATGTTTTCTTGTTCTGGTCTAACGGTTAAATTCTTGAAAGTTCAGGAGAAACTGAATTACAGAACAGTGAAATGGGTCAAGTACTGTACCCAAGCTGGATCTTATGACATTCGTTACTAAAATATAACATTTTCACCATTTTTCCATGTAGACCTTTTTTGCACCCGAATAATTTCCACGTGCAAAGACCCTGTATGTACGGGTTTGGAAAAACTAAAATTTTTTTTTTTTTTTTTTTCATTAGTTTTTTTTTGGATTCCTCATCAGCCAAATCATCAGCCAAATCATCTTCTAGAGATAGATAGAGAAGCACAGACAAGATGAGAGATTTGATAGTATTGGGAGGAAGCTCACACCCCAGTCTCACCCGGAATATATGTCGTAACTTGACTACCGAACAAGGGCTAGTTGATCTGAAGAAATTTAGTAATGGAGAAACTAGTATTGAGATTCGAGATTCAGTTAGAGAAAAAGATGTTTTCATAATTCAAAGTGGATGTGGACAAGTTAATGACAATTTCATTGAATTGTTGATTATGATAGCAGCATGTAAGACAGCCAGTGCCAAAAGAGTTACGGCGGTATTACCATTATTTCCATATTCACGTCAACCCGATGTACCGCATGCAGCATCAATTACTGGAGCACCATCTATAAGTACTAAGAAGGAACAATATACTTTTGAAAGTGCTCCCAGCACCCCCAGACCATTGAGTAGAAATGATGATGTAGCATCACCACCATTATCATTAAACTATGGAGCAAATAATAATAATGAATTATTGAATCGAGCAGCCATTAATAATGCTAACAGTGGGATTAAACAGCCAATTGCAAGTAGACCGGCCACCCAAGCCATAGCAGAAACTGATGTTAATGGTAAAACCGAAAGTGGATATAAACAATGGATTGCACAAAATGGAACCCTTATAGCAAATTTATTAACTACAGCAGGTGCCGATAGATGTATTACTATGGATTTACATGATGCTCAATTCCAAGGGTTTTTCAATATTCCGGTTGATAATTTATACCTGAAACCATTATTAAAACATTATATCATGGATTATATTCCAAACTATGAAGAATGTGTTATAGTAAGTCCTGATAGTGGAGGAGCTAAAAGAGCCACATCCTTAGCCGATGCCTTGGGATGCTCTTTTGCATTGATTCATAAAGAACGTAGAGCCAAATTAGCCAAAAACCCTCCTTCTACCGCTGCCAGTGCATCTTCCAATAAAGGTCCCTTAACAGTGATAAGCGGGGGTAGTATTGGAATGTCCAGTAGTACTAGTGTCAATACCACTGCTAATGCTACCACCACCATGGTTGCAACTACAATGTTGGTGGGAGACGTTAAAGATAAAGTATGTGTTTTGGTTGATGATTTAATTGATACTTCTTACACCATCACCAGAGCTGCCAAATTACTAAAAGACCAGGGTGCCAAATACGTTTATGCTTTGGTCAGCCATGGGATCATGAGTGGAGACGCCGTTAATAGAATTAACAAAAGTGCCATTGACAAATTAATCGTTACCAATTCAGTACCACAATTAGATCATATTTCTCAATTGGGCGACAAATTAGAAGTTTTGGACGTTTCAAGAATATTGGCTGAGGCCATTAGAAGAATACATAACGGAGAAAGTGTCAGTATGTTATTCGATCACGGTTGGTGATGTCTAGTTGCAAATCATGCTGCATCCTAATACCTCTTATATAGTTATATACAATTGAAAAACAAACCTACCCTACACGTACCATCACCCGCCAACTCAGCATACCTAGTAACTCAGTATACCCAGCTATCTCAACCCCAGCTATCCCAGCACCCAACTATCCCAGTATACTAGTAAACTGATACTGCTAGAGTAGCTGAATCCCCCCGCTGTCCGAATCGCTTGTGGTTACCCCGGATAATCATCTCCGAATTGGAAAACCCTCCCGGAGAGAGAAACCCATACACCACCCCTCTTTTCGAAATACGTCAAAAAAAAAAAGCTCTGCTAATGCCGTTTATCATTGCCCTGTATAAAAAAAAGAAGCAAAAAACTGCGCGGTTTGTGATTCTACTCACTTTCTTTCTGATAGCGGGTATTTTAGCAACAAGTCCATTGAGCATTGACAAGGGCATTGGCAAGGGCATTGACAAGGGCATTGATTCCGTAGACCCGTCGTGGAAGGCTTTTCAGATTGAGAGCATTACATTGTTCAGTAGGTCAATAGGTTAATAGGTCAATAATTCAATTATTCAATACGTTTTACAGGATATTACTGGTCATATCGAGAAGTGAAAACTACAGGTAACTTTCTCAGGATATTACAGGTCGCGATATTACAGGTCACGATATTACAGGTCACGATATTACAGGTCTCATTGACCAGTGGATATTACAGGTCACGATATTACCAGTCACATTTACGGAGGAAGTGATCTGTAACTGTTGAGAATCTGACTGATCGCAGCTATTTTTACCAGTGTTTATTTTTCCAGAAAAACTTGTTTATTTTTTCGGGATTGGGGTACGGATAGAGAGGGGGTTTAGTGAATAGCCAAAAAACCTCTCTTATCGCAACACAACTATACGTAAAGGGGAACTTGAACTTTTCCACAATTTTAAAAAGAATATAATAGTTGCCCCTCATTTTTTTTCAATTTCAATTGGAAAAGTATATAAAGAGTTGAAATTGTCTTATTCGATATTAGGTATTTTGATCATTGATAAATTATTTTTATTATTACAAGCAAGATGGCTTCATATGAACCTCAATTGCAAAATTTATCTTTAGGTAGATCAATTTCAAATTCTTCGTCAGTTCAAAGTTTAAAACATGGATATATTGATAAACCCTTCCTGGGTAAGAAAGATCAGTATGAACAAGTTTTAGATATCTTGGATAGTACGGGATTCATACCCGAATCCCTAATTGAACTGGAAACACGTTGGTTTTATGAATCTTTAGGTATTGATGATGTTTTTTTCGCTAGAGAAAGTCCAGAAGGTATTGCTAATCACATCCATTCCCTTTACTCATGTAAAGTTCAAGCTTACTCTACTAATATCTTGGATCAACCGTTAATCCAATATAAAAGAGAAGGTGATGATCACGCAGTATTTTTCGAAACTTCTTTAAGTCATCCAAATGATAAATTATCAAATGATGTTAGTGCTAATTTGAAAAATAGATTTGAAGAAAGAATCGACGATAAATATATTGATCCTTCTTTTTATAAAACGTCAAGTTATCGTCAAGAATATTTCAGTGCTCCTCTCAATTTTAAATCTGATCCAATTTTATCAGGAGTTGCAGAAAAAAATCCGGCCATATTACAAAATCAATTAGTAAAATGCTATTTTGTTTATAAAAATCATTTTCAAGAAGAATCTAATCCAAATGAAACTGATATAAATAAACTTGGTGATTCTACTTTTTTGAAAATTGCTTCTGAAAATACTAAAAAATTATATTCTGAAATCATTAATAATGTTTTGAAAACTACTGGTCCAGTCATTAAACATTTCCCAATTGAAGATCTGGAAGAATATCGTGTTGTTATTGGGTTTAGACAGAAAACTTCTACCCGTTATAATTCGGCTTTAAGTGATTTAGCTAATTATTATAAATTACAAACAACTCGTAAATACGTTGAACAATTTTCAAATGGTATCACCATTATTTCAATGTATGTTACTTCAAGTCCAAATAATCAAAAATTAAATCCAGTTGATTTATCAATTTATCAAGTTATTAAAGAAGCTAGTTTATTATATTGTATTCCTCATAATTATTTCCATGATCGTTTTATCAATGGTGATTTATCTTTACAAGAATCTATTTATGCTCAATGTGGGGTTGTTTTTGTAACTCATTTCTTGAATAGATTGGGTCCAGAATATAATAAGTTAACTTCTTTATTAGATGCTTCAAAATCAATTCAACATGCTGAAGTCTTGAATAATTTAAAGAAGAGACTTAGAGCTGAAACTTATACTCAAAATTATATTCAAGAAGTTTTCAATTCAAAAAGTGATATTGTTCGTAAATTATATCGTCAATTTGCTGATACTCATTATATTCGTTCTTCAATGGAGAAAACTTTATCTTATCAAAGATTATCTCAAATTACTCCAGTTGGTAATGATGAAGAATTTGAAAAATTATTGAGTAGAGAATGTTCTCAAAATGAACATCAAATATTCGTTTTAAGAGCTTTATATTATTTTAATAAGTCAATCTTGAAAACTAATTTTTTTGTTTCAACTAAAGTTGCTATATCTTTTAGATTAAATCCTTCATTTTTACCTTTGAGTGAATACCCTGAAACTCCTTTTGGTATGTTTTTCGTTGTTGGTAATGATTTCCGTGGGTTCCATATTAGATTCAGAGATATCGCTAGAGGTGGTATTAGAATTGTTAAATCAAGATCCTTAGATGCTTATAATGTTAATGTTCGTAATTTATTTGATGAAAATTATAATTTAGCTTCTACTCAACAAAGGAAAAATAAAGATATTCCTGAAGGTGGTTCTAAAGGGGTTATTTTATTAGACCCCGGTATTGCTCAAGAAAGACCAAGACAATGTTTCGAAAAATATATTGATTCTTTAATTGATCTATTATTAAAACAATATATTCCTGGTGTTAAAGATAGCTATGTTGATTTATATAATAAACAAGAAATTTTATTCTTGGGTCCTGATGAAGGTACTGCTGGTTATGTTGATTGGGCAACTAACCATGCTAGATCAAGAGGTGCTCCATGGTGGAGATCCTTCTTAACTGGTAAATCTCCTCAATTAGGTGGTATTCCTCATGATGAATATGGTATGACTTCATTATCGGTTAGAGCTTATGTTAATAAAATTTACGAAAATTTAAATTTGGAATCAAGACCAATCAGAAAATTACAAACTGGTGGTCCAGATGGTGATTTAGGAAGTAATGAAATTAAATTAAGTACTCCTAATGAAGTTTATGTTGCAATTGTTGATGGTTCAGGTGTAATTGTTGATCCTCAAGGTTTAAATAAGGATGAATTATTAAGATTAGCTGATCAAAGAAAAATGATTGACCACTTTGATTCGAAATTATTGTCACCTCAAGGTTTCCGTGTTTTGGTGGATGACGTTGATGTTAAAATACCAAATGGTGAAATCATTACTAGTGGGGTTGCTTTTAGAAATGGTTTCCATATTAACTTTAAAGATGTTTTGAATGATGAAAATGGTGGTGGAATTGACTTATTTGTTCCATGTGGTGGTAGACCAGGTGCCATTGATACTAATAATGTCTATGACTTAATTAATCCTAAGACAGGTAAATCAATCATTCCTTACTTTGTTGAAGGTGCTAACTTATTCATTACTCAATCTGCCAAATTGGTTTTAGAAAACGCTGGTACCATAATTTTTAAAGATGCTTCAACTAATAAGGGTGGTGTTACATCTTCTTCATTAGAAGTCTTGGCTGCATTGGCCTTTGATGATAATGGATTCTTATCCAATATGTGTGTTGATGAAAAAACTGGTGCTAAACCAAAATTATACCAAGATTATGTTAAAAATTGTCAACGTATTATTGTTAAGAATGCTCAATCTGAATTCCAAAGTTTATGGGACTTAAAGAAGGTCACTGGGGTCCCAATTACTGAATTATCTGACAAATTATCAGTTACAATCAATAGATTAGCTGATGAATTAGCTAATTCAAAAGAATTATGGAATGACGATGTTGAATTTAGAAATGCCGTTTTATTAGATTCCTTACCTTCATTGTTACTCGATGTTATTGGTATAGATCAAATTTTATTAAGAGTTCCTCAACCTTATTTAAAAGCCTTATTTGCAACCCGTTTAGCTTCAACATTTGTTTATTCTAGAGGTATTGATTCAAATCCTGCCAAATTCTTGGAATTCATCAGTTCTATCAGAAAACAATATGTTCAAAAAGGTTTACTTAAATAAGTTTTAGTTCTACATTTAGTTTAGTTTGGTTACATTTATATTTTTTTACTTTCATTTGTTGGATGTCAATCGTAGCTTATAACTTGTAGATATTTTATTAATAAAATTATATCAGCTAAATAAGATTATTCCAGTTCCTTCTCCATCTGCTTCAATATATCTGCTCTTGCCAGTTTCTCTTCCTCTATTCTAGTGGTAACGTATTCACCCAATAATGCAAAAACAAAGGTTGATCCCCCTATATAGTATCTTGCCTTAACCGGAAGACTGTTCCATTTATTCCATAAATTCATTAGTGTGTTTGTTGTATGAAGAGAAGTAGTTGAGTTTATTTTTCAGTTTTTATTTTTCGATCTTTAATTTGATTGAAAAAAAAAAAAAAGTTGAAAAAAAAAATTGTATCTTTGCAACTCTTCCATAATGACCAGCCAGAGTAAGAGACTCGGGGTGACAAAGACAAGTTTACCTCCATGCTGTCTTAGAATCCACCCTATCGACACTTCGCTTATAATATTAGGAACTTACCAACTAGACAAACCAACAGGTAAAAGAACGGGATCCATCGATCTATACAGGTTTGATCAAGATGGCTTAAATTTGACATTGATAAAGTCGATTGCAACTGAAAGTGCAGTGCTAGATATAAAGATATCACCATTTGATCCGTCTTTGTTGGTTTCGGCACATTCCACCGGTAATATTCAATTGTGGACAGTCGATCATGTTAGCCCAGATATAACTTTGGTTGAAAATCGTCATATATTTGATTCTGAAATACTTATTACCTCCATATTTTTCAATCCCCAAGAGAAGAATAAAGTTGTTACTACTCTCACCTCAGGGGAGCTGGCTTTGATTGACTTAAACGACTTCAGCCATGAGGTATTTGATACAGTACATGATCTTGAATGTTGGACCGCCGGGTTTGGTGAATTGGGCCAATTATCAAATGTAGTATTTACTGGGGGTGACGATGCAAAATTGATAGCTCACGACTTGAGAATGAAGAATTCTATCTGGTCAACAAGCTATAAGCACCACGATGCTGGGGTGGTATCAATTCTATCCCCCAATAAAAATTGGAACAATTCCAACTCGAATCATTTATGGACTGGATCATATGATGATAATTTAAGGATTTTAGACTTAAGAGTAATGGATAAAGTGAACCCTCAATTGATTCCAGGTTTTATTCCAAAGGTTTTAGAACAAAAAAACCTCGGTGGTGGGGTTTGGAGATTGATACCGTCTCCCATAGAAAATGATAATAGAGTTATGTCTTGTTGTATGTATGATGGTGCACGTATCATAGATCAGGTTGACCAACTGTTTCAAGTTTCTCGTTATTTCAAAAAGGATCATGAAAGTATGTGCTATGGTGGAGATTGGTCACAAGATGGTAAATACATAGCTACGTGCTCTTTCTATGATAATGTAGTACAAATATGGTCACCAAATGACGTAGAATAATCATTTATATATAAATACATATTTTTACTTTAATATTTTTTTGATTCAATTGTATAAACTTAAGTCCAATGGCACAGAAGAGCCTCTACCACTAGGATATAGCTTAGCCTTATCGCCCCTTTCCCCAAATCTTCTAGGGTTAGGAAGTGAATTAGCGTTGACGAACTTGAACCTGTTTTCTTTGTCTTCGATAACAGTTTTTCCTGATGATGATCCACCACCATTTCTTGATGCAGCGTTAATTGTATAAGCCAGAGCAGAAATTTTCCGCAAAGATTGTCCGGTGGATTGTTGCTGATCCAAATTAGATGGAGGTGGTGGAGGAGCAGATTTTTTGGTATTTCTTTTAGAAGCAAATGGTGATAAAACTGATGAAGTAGTTGTTGATGACGGACTTGCAGAAAATGGTATTTGTTCGGATGGAGGAGGTGGAGGAGCAGTATTCACTGGAGGTGGAGGAGGTGGAGCAGATGATGTAGGGGGTGGAGATGGTGAATTATCACGGGGAGGGAACGACGGAATGACTGGAGGTGGAGCGGGTGGTGCTGGAGTTGATTTAGGTGGAGTTGGTGCTATACTTGGGGGTACAGAAGGTACAGGAGGAGCAGGAGGAGCAGATGATGTAGGGGGTGTAGGTATTGGCTTTGGAATGGATGGAGCAGATGGACGTGAAGTCGAATTATTTGGTTTAGCCATACCTGGAATTGGGATTGGAGGTGCACGATTCGATATAGATGATGCTGGTTTATTGAGAGAAGGAATTGATGGTGCACTAGGTGGTTGCCTAGGTGGCGGTGCTGCAGTACTAGAGTTATTTTGGTTGAGAGTAGAAGCACCACTTGAAGTACCATCCACAACGTAAGATTCGTTTCTCTTAGCATTGATTTCGGCGAGAAAAGGTAATCCACCTCCAAGAGAAGGCGGTGGAGCAGAGGACGAAGATGCAGGGGTTGATTTTTTTGACAAATTTGCAGCCGAAGGAGCAGCCGGAGGAGGAGGAGGAGGAGGAGGTGCACCACCAGATGGTAAAGAGGGAGCAGGCGCTGGAGGAGGTGGTGGAGGAGGAGCTGGAGGACCACTAGACGGTAATGAAGGGGCAGGCGCTGGAGGAGGTGGGGTAGGTGGAGCTGGAGGGCCACCCGAAGGTAACGAAGGAGCAGGCGCTGGAGGAGGTGGAGGAGGAGCCGGAGGAGCTACAGATGAGCTTCTCGTAGGAGCATTTGACGAGGGAACTGAATTTGAGTCAATTGTATGTGAATCATCTCTTTTAGCATTAATTTGAGCAAGGAAAGGTAAATTACCTAGAGGAGGAGCAGGGGGAACCGACAGCGAGGAAGAAGAAGCTTTTGCAGCAGGAGGTGCAGCAGACGGTAATGGGGGAGCAGAGGAAGGAACAGGAGGAGGAGCGTCTGGCAATGGAGGAGCAGATGATGGAACTGGAGGAGGTGCGTTTGGTAGTGGAGGAGCAGCAGAAGGAACCGGAGGAGGATTTGGGCTCGGAGTACGATTAATCGAAGAGGAATTCTTCAAATGGCTCGACTTCTTTGGCCTCGAGGGTGGCATTTTAGGAGCCTTTAAAGACCCACTGCTATTATTCGACGAAAGGGGAGGAGGAGCAGAAGAAGGAACTGGAGGAGGTGGTGGAGCCGAAGAGGATGGAGGAGGAGGAACGTTATCAGATAGTTTCCTAGCCGGTCTCGAGGAAGGCATTGAAGGAGGAAGGTTCGAAGGTATTGGCGGCGTTGAAGGGGCCAGGTTATTCGATGGCGGAGTTGGAATACTTGGGGCCGAAGCAGGCACCAATCCACTTCTATTATCAGTTTTCTTTAATTTTGGTATACCACCAGCTAATATATCACCTAATTGAGGAACCCCAGAGGGAGGAGCGACTGGAACAGAAGAACTCGATGATCTACCACCGCCACCACTTGAAGCAGCAGGAGAAGATACACCGACAGATGCCTTAGCGTCCAAAAGAGGGCCCGACTTATCAACTGTCGTTGCCTTTTTCAATTTAGTTCCTTTTCGAATATCTCCTAGTAAAGCGTCTCGACCAGCAGGCATTACTGGGGGTGGACCAGGAGGCAAATTGCCACCACCGCCGAGCGATGGAGGAGGAGGAGGTGGAGGGGGAGGAGGACCTGCCATTGTGATATATAGAGTGTTGAAGTTAAAGTAGTTGATTTGGAGATTATAGCTATGATTCTGTTGATTTGTGGGTTATGTGGACAAACCGCAATTGAGAGACCCGGTGTACGGGCGTGAATTCTTAGATTTGCAGTTTCAATTCAACTACAACCACTACTTGCAAGAGTAAATGACTATCAATGATGTTAATATTGGTAATGTAGTTATAAATAAGATATATACACGAAGAAAGAAGATGGTTTTAATACAACCATGATTGGAAAATACGAGAATCAGCCATAATCGAACAAAGAACCGAGCAAATTACATTTCAATTGATTCGAACTTGAATGGAGACTGGATGGCTTCGGAGATTTCATTTTCCATGATTTCAGTTAAAGAAGAACCATCTTTTAAAGCAATCCACTTACTCTGGATGGAGTCAAATCTGTTTGGACCACTTATTGGACTGCTCAACCAAATTTGCTTGTTTGCCGGTTGTCTATTAATAACGTAAGTCCCGTTTGGAGGCACGGTGACGGTTAATACCCCTTGAACAAGCTCGATTTCAATGCCTTCGTGGTCCATGGATAACTCTTCCAATTCGTCTGACATATTTTCTAAATACTCATCGGCAATACGTCCGTATTCACTTGCCGATATATTATCTATCTTGTCTTCAATTTCTTCTCCCTGGGTACTCAACGCATAGCTCCTGGTGACATTCACCAGCTGTATGGCCTTACTTCTCCATATGTTTGGTGTTGCATAAACAGTTGGAAGGGCTTTTCTCAAACAAGACCCCCCAACGGATCTGGCAATACTGGATCTTAAAGTATTTCTAAACATCTGGAACCCAATCAAGTAGCTAACAAGTCTATTTTCTCGACAACAGCAATGTAATCAACACGGTAAGATCTTATTTATAACCGAATTCTTATTGGTTATAGTGAGATGGAATGGTTATTAAGTTGAGTGTTTTTTCTGCGGGAAATTTTTTCCTTTTGATTTTTGAAAAATCCACAGTTGAAGCTACTTGAATGGTTAACCAATCTTGTTTAGTTCCCCTTTAGCTTACATGAAATGAGTTTGTTGGCCATTATAGCCTTCGGAGGGTTTTTAGTTGCTTGTATCTTGATACTTCCCGTGGTTTCAGGATTAACTCTGGTTGAAAAAAACAAAAAGACAAGAGTCAAGGAAACCAAAACTGGATCCAGGAAAGTAGAATATACTTCCAATGAATACATTCCGCCAGATGAGCTAGCGGCAATGTCAGAGGAGGAGAAGAAAGAGTTTTCATTGAGAGCCAAGGCATCAGCATTGAAAGCACGAATGAATGTCACCTCTGACGATATTCCAATCCAAATCAGATTGAAACAAGCTGAATCCGCAGACGGATTGAGGAAAAGACATAAGGAAAGATTGGATACTGACACCGATCCTAACAACTACGATTACGATTTGGATGATTTGATCCAGGAAGAATCCGAAGAAATTGCCAGACTGCAAAACAATGATTATTATAAAAATGAACAATTAGGTACTACCAAAGAAGAATTGGTTTAAAGAGCAAAAAAAAATTGCATTTATCTATATTTAATCTAATGTACATATTTACAAGGACTCTAAGATATCGAGTAGTCCAATAAGGTAACCTTTTTTAACGTAGTTCAACTCTGCAATGTAAGAGCTTCTCTTTAAATCATCACTTATTGGAATCCACGAATTGGTAGAGTTGATTTTATCAAGTTGATTCATCAAGTCTGATCTATGGGACTCAAGCTGCACCATTAGATCCGATTTGGTTGGTTCATCAAATGGTGAAATATTGATGGTATTGATATAAGCGTCATATATTCTAAATACCAAGTCATTGGGTAATTTAATCAACGAACCTCTATTTCTAGGGATTTTATTAGTTGGAGCGTATTCAGTCAAGTAATGGTCAACAAAATTAGATAATTGAGGGGTCATTTCAAGTTTGTTTAATTTATGCTTGATATTTGAATCATTGGTTAGGGCATCATGAGTATTTAATAACTTACCAGTTATGCTATTAAGAGCTTCAATGTTCCAACCATTTGAAATAGTGGAATTACGACAGAATCTTTGAAAAATCATTTTGAAATCTTTGGTGAGTAGTGGAAGATAACTCTGTTCCACCATCAAGTGTAGTAATTGATCCAATTGATTAAAAGTCACCGGAGGGATATTGAAGTAATGATCACAGAAACAATAGGATTCGAGTAATGATGAAAAAGTAGTTCGATCAGGACTTAGCTTAAACTGTTTAGGAGAAGTTTTCAACACTTTTACTAGATTATCATAAACTTCCATTGAATCATCGATCGAAGTATCATCCTCTGAATTGAGACGTTTATAAATTTCCAATTCAGAACTGTTGTCGTTTGGGGAAATTAAACACATTAAAAGGTTCTCTACTTCATTTCTATAACCAAAGTGAATCAATCCACGGAATACACGATTCAAAAGTCCAGTATTCAAAACCTCAGTCGAATTCAAGAAACTAGCTAGACTTTGGAAAAATAACTCCGTGGAATCAATCTGCTGACTGTATCGAAGTATCAACTTATAAGCCTCATGATTTGGCTCAATCCGTTCAACGATGTCACTAATAACTTTTGGCTGTTCGTGCATTATTGCAACTTTCAATAGGGTGTTCTGAGTGGATTTTTCGATTTCATTACCAAAACTACCCAAGATTTGAGTATAGGTATCCCAATTGAACACTGGAGAAAAATCCCGGATCAAACCTTGATATTTTTCGTAGATGGCAGGGTCTTTTGATATTGCTCTATCGATTCTTTTCAATAGACTTGTTGAGTCCTTATGGAAACTCAGAAGAATGAACTGGTTTCTTTCATTGACTGAAATGGGTAACTTAGAGCTTTTCAAATCATTAAATATCTTAGAACATCGACTAACATGCCTATGACGCATAAGCATCAGTTTTTTCATTAACTCATAAAGGGTCTTGGGAGAGCTTTTTTCAATGTTATATGTATGGGACAACACTGTGGGCATTTTAAAGTCCCTTCTTTTCAAAAATTTAATTAAAAAATTCTCCAAATCTTCATGTTCGATAAATAAGGGTGCAGGGTACGGTAATTTACAGTAATTTTCGTAAAGCTTATCATGATTGATCAAATGGTATTTATTATTCGAGTCACTATGCTGGTACTTCGTTGACAATGTAAACTTTTCTTGTGATGGTGATGGGTATAATGCAAAAAGGAATTTATTATAGTCAAGAGAAGGAGATGATCTTCGATTCGGGAACAGTCTTCTCTCTAGCTTGATCCCGTTTTGCTTGAAGCCGAGCAAGGCTTGATAAACACTCTCCTTAGTGGCAGGAGCCCCCAATTCCAGCGAAAGCTTTACCAAATTAGTCTCTATGCTCTTATTGACCAAAGATATAAGATATGAATCGGACTTTTGTGCAGCCTCAACCTGATCTTTTAGCCTGGAAATAACGCTGGAATATGCGTTTGAAGTCGTATGCGATGATTTAAGCCGGGCACTCGTTGCTATCAGCCGCCGTATCATCACCTTCAACTAGTTTCTCCCTTAATATTAAGTTATATCAATGGAATCTGTCTATAAAATGAAAAAAAGATTTAAAAAGACGATTACATAATCGAGAGAGAATCAACAGAAAAAACTTCATTGAAAAAAAAAAAAAAACCGAAAAAAGTGAAAAATCCTTCTACAACCAAGTACTGACACACAGGCAAGATGAAGATCCAACATAAGGCCACTAACATATTGGGGAAGACCTCGCATTACTTGAAGAGTGGGGTTTTGAAAGAAAAGCCGGTTTGGTTTGACGTTGTGGGCTCGAATCCACCAAATATTGATTTAACTAAAAGAGCGAAATTATTTGATGTTAATGGGCAAAAACAGGATCCCGTGGAAAAATTAAATGATAAACTGAAGAAAAATGGATTGTATAAAACCCGTCATGGCAAAGCGGATCGTGCCAATATAAATACCAGTGTTAATAGGGTACCAAAGTTGTCATTTTTAGAAGATCGATTAAGAGATTTATTTTACCATCAACATCCATGGGAATTTGCTAGACCCAAGACATTAATTGAAAACAAGGGGGATGAATATAAGAAAGGCGATTGGTCCCATATGTTACAATTCCATAAACCATTAGATGGAGAAAGTGTTGTACAAAGAACCGTATGGTTATTAGAGACGGAGAATAAAAAGGGGAAAGGAGGATTACTTGAAGCTTATGATCAGGCCAGGTTTGAATTCTATAGATTGAGAATGGAAGAAGAAATGAACAGTCAAGTATCAAAAGAAGAAAGTGGGATGTATGGGGCCATTTACCCAAGTACAAATATCGAATGGGGATTAGAACAAGAACAAGAACATTTGGATATATGGGCCAAAGCTGCTAGTGAAATGACCGAAGCCAAACTAGCCTCGACAGCCACCCAACAAAGAGCCGCCAATGGATCCCAAGGAGGTGAAGAAATGGAAAGAGATACCCGTTCTATATGGGAAGAAGGATTAGAAAATATTGGTGAATTTGAAGAAGAAAAATAATTTTGTATATAGATTTAGCATGTAATTAATAACTTAACGATTTTTTTGTTTTTACAAATGTAACAATTGATATGCAATAAATATAGAATAAGGTTATATATAAAAAGCTATAAAAATTAACCTATGCAAAACCTTATGAATTATCATATATGAAGTGAAAAGTTTGAATAAATAAATAAAGTACAGAAAACAAGGCACTCCTTGTATATTTTAATGATGTTCATCATGTCCATGATCCTTCTTTAAGAAGAAATGTTCATAAGCAAGATAAATTGAAAAAGTTCCAACGGCAATCCCGAATCCTGGAAACGCATTTTTGAATCTGTTGAAACGGGTGAACTGTCCTTCATACCTCCAAGCATCTCTTTTGGCCCATGGATTACTCATCTTGTATCTATTTGTTTATTGTTTGGTATCCTTCTCCATGAAAAGAGTCTTGTAATGTTAATATCGAGTATTTCATTGGACTAAAAGATTTTGGGAAAAAAAAAAAAAAAAAAAAAAAGAGTGGATTATGTAATCAAAAAATCGATTACGTAATCGAAGAATTGCAGCCATTTCTATACCGATTGCAAGCTTTTAGAGCTAAAGGATAGTATCTGGGGATAGTGCCTGGGGATAACAGAGACGCTGGACTGTTTTTTCAGGGGTAGTTCTGTCTGGTAATATAAGTAGGATGTGTACTTTGATATTTACAAATGGAATGTTGCTAGACTATCAATAACTTTAGCTATTAACGATGTATGTATGGGTGAATCGACTGCAAAGGAAGTAGGGCCTATGTGAATTAGTTAAAATGATGTGATTCACTTCCTTCCTCTATGTGTACATTGACGTGGTAAGTAGTTTTATGATACTCAATACTTACTCAATACTTACTCAATAGTCAATACTTACAATACTCAATACTTACTCAATACTCAATACTTACAATACTCAATACTTACTCAATACTCAATACTTACTCAATACTCAATACTTACTCAATACT